GAGAATGGATAGAAGGCTATTATCTTCCGAAAACTCTCCTAGTCGATGGAGATCAGGATTCTACTTGAAAAAGATCCTCATCTCCTGTGGATTCAACTACAATTAATGGGAACAGAGGAATTTATCAGGGTATCATGGATATATCAAGAAATCTCCTTCGTTGAATTAAACTGAAGAAAGTGTGTGGAAGATAACAGACAGATCCGAAAATTATATATACAAAGGGCTACTAAAATCGATCAAGACTGGATAAAAAAATTAAAAAAATTCTGGTGATGGTCATATGTTGTTAAATAATCGTGCTGAGGTTTTTTTTTTACCACCCCTTTTTATAACTTGAGTATATTTTCTAGTTTTCTCTATTTGGAAAGGAGTTGATTCTAAAACAAACGATGACAATAATTTGTGACCCAAATAAAAAGGTTGTAGTCATCCGTTTAATTTGAGAGTCCTAATGAGATGATTCCTTCTCCTCTTCATAATCAACTAAAAATAAACACGATAGTACTACACACTTCATTGTTGTGTAATTTTGGAATAACTGTCAGATTTGTTAACTATTTTACGAGATTTTTTCATCCAGGCTTTCACGTCGTCTATATTTTGGGGAAGCTGTCGCCCACGCGTCTCTGGCAGCATCATGATGAGGAAGTTAGCTAATAGACAACCGGCTGAGAAGATCACTCCAGGACCCCAAATTATAAAACGAATCTGAAATATAAAAGAATATGTCAATGATTAATGTAATCATGTCTGATTTAATAAAGTCATTGTTCACATTGTTTATTTAATAAATTTTGCTTGATTTGGTAAAAAGGCACATGAAAATGATTTCTCTTTGCTAACGCCTTGCAATTAGGTGTACCACGCGATTTCCATGCGGAGTTGCTACTGCTGCTCCACCAACACCTTGGGAACGAATTCGCCAACACTCTCTGCATGCATAAAATCCTCTGTTAAAATGAAATGCACTGATCGCGTGTTTATACCCACATGAGCAATTTCTAGATTCTTACACGACTATCTTCCACTAAGGTGCGGCCATGTTTGAAGCGCTTGCACCACTCCTTGATCTGTGTTTTGCCCATGGCATCATCGCCAAAGACTTGCTAAATCCTGTGGATGGTATAAGCTTTTGACAAAGCTTTGTGCACTATCTCTGCTTTATGCGTTCGATTATCTTGCGTGAAAATGAAATTCGACGAGCGCGCACTACACGTCTGTACTCTAGGTGTAACAGCCGAGAACTGACACTGCTTCCTGGCGCGAAAATGTTTACGCATACGCAAGAAGGTTTGATATTTATTTCTAATCTGACTTTTCTTTATAAACAGGCGAAATTTGTTGATAGAGTTGATAAGTTGCTTAGTTATTCTAATAAGGTAATTCTGTTAAACTGAATCTGGTATCAACGTTTACTTCTTACATCACGAAAAGTAGATTTTTTATTGATATATTTTAAACCCTAACAAATCTAAAATTTTATTTTTGAAATGGTTATATTGTTTATAAAATCAATTATCTAAGTTATTCGATATGTTCTTAAATAATGTATTTATTTATCTTTATCGAGTTAATATTAGAAAAAAAACATTTTTATCGTTAATAAAGGATGACACAAACTTGTGTATAAAAAAATAAGTGAATAAAAAAAATTTCCATCATGTAATATTATTGTTTTGAGTTTTTCACATTTCATTCTTTTAATTTATGTTTTAAATAAAGCAAAATAATAAATAAACAATGAACAAAAGTCATACACAGACATTGTTTCAAATTTGTTTTAGCAAGTGATGTTTTGATTTTCCGACCTTTCTGTGAATTAATTACGAAATGTAAACAAAACAAAAAGAGATGTTAAAATTGAATTTGTTTCTTATAAAATAAATTTATTTAAATCTGATTTCTAGTTCGTAACAAAATAGAGAAAAAGTAAATTGATCATTTTTTTTTAATCACTGTAAAAAGGAGAAAAAAAGCGGAGATAACAAGAAAAATAAAGATAAACATTTGGCAGCGAGGAGAAAATGAGTTCATAGAAATTTTACTTTTATTCACACGACTTTCTTTAAGGTACATGTTTGAAATGTGAAAAAATGAAAATTTTTCGTTTTGGAGAAACATTTTTGCTTCATTGTAATGCATGCAACTTTAATTGCATTAAAAGTATTTTAACCAATCATTTGGCTTATTTATTTACTCAATTAAGTTTAAACTCAGACTCTTGCCGTTATATTGAAATTGTTACTCACTTGATATGAGACAGATTCAAAATCTTAACCTTGAATGATATTTTTTACCTAAGCTAATTCCAAATATAAAAAATATGATATACAACTGTACATTGACTCATGATCTAACGTAAGGTAATCCAAACTTTAACATTAAGTTAGTTCCGTAAAATCAACAGAAAGCATTTAATCACAACTGAAATGAAACGGTGTTAATTTTTTTAAAAATACTTTATTATAGATACATCTTTTGAACAAAATAATTTAAAATAGTTTTGTAGTCACTTTGGTTGATTTTAGCACACAAAACGAGCTTTCGTTTGATTAAGTTAAAGAAAGAATCAATTTCTGTTCAGACATTGATGTTTTTATCTTCTACTGTAGTATCTGCCATTACAGTATATATCAGAATAATTTTAAACCTATATCAACAAATTACTTACCAGAAATGCAGTGAAAGGCGATAAAGCACTGCCAACACGAGCAGCAGAAGACGCCATACCAAGAGCTGCACCTCTGTGGAGAAAAAGTAAAACCCGAAATAGACATTCTTTAATTGGTAGACAGACAAAATACAATCACTAATAACAGGATGAACTATTTACATAAATTAATATAATATGCCGTGAATAGGCTAATCAGGTCAGAATTTCATTTCTGTTAGGGACTCAAAGTTTGATCGTTAATTGGTAGACTGTCCCCGGTGGCTTGTCAATTGGTGGCTTGTCGGTGGCAAAATTCAACGATACCTCCAGCACTTATCCAAAAAGCACTTCCTCATTGAAGAGGTCGTGTCAGGAGCCACAGCTTTTTCGCCACCAATATTTAAATACACATAGCCGATATTCTGCTTTGATGTCTTCGAATTTAACAGAATCTCAATACAACTAAAGTCTCATTTCGAAGAATCTACGACTTTAACTAAAAATTCCACATTTTTATTTTGAATGACTTACCTGTATTTGGTTGGGATGAGTTCAGGTAAAAATGCCCACAGGCCATTAAATGAACCGGAAATACCGAACATCCCTATCATTGAAGCGACAGTAGAAATAATAAAATATTTGCTTGTTCTGTCTGCAAGAGAAACGCATATGAATGATGAATATTGAATATATCATTATAGTTGATTATAATGATAATGGTTTTTTGTATAAACGCATAAAAAGTTACTGATTTTTCTGTATGAAAGCATACAAAGGCGACTGTTTTTTTTCTCTATAAGCGTGACTGGTTTTGCCTGCAAATAAATATTATATTTGAGTTAGTTTAGTTTTTCTTTCCGCTTGTGCTGTTAAGCGTCGCGGGGAGACACAGTCGTCTGCAACTGAGTCTCTCCACCGTCTCAGTGGCAGACCCCACAAAGCCCAACCCTCGTTCTCATCGTGGGAGGTGGAAACAGGTAATGCTGGTCAACGGGGCACTAGTGAAGCGGTCACTGGCTTAGCGGGCCAACAGTGGATAAAAATTGCTCAAGGAAACAAAAGGAGAATAAATATTATAAACAAATAGAAATTAAGGACAAACTTGTTACAGACAAACGTACTGAAAAAAGAAATTAATTTTCTATGTTTAAAGATTTGCAGTGGAAAAAGGAAACAAAAGGGGAAATAGTTGATAGTACAATGATGCATACATATCCAGTATGATTTGTTGATTGAGCTGTAAATTCTAGTCATATTGAGAAAGGCAGGAAAGGTATACTTAAAACTTAACAAAAACAACCTTTTATTTTCAGCTTCCAGTTTGTACAAAAGGATTTTTGCGTCGAGTGAATATCAGGATAGTAGTTTAAATTTAATGAAGAGACTGTTTTTTTTTCAGTTTGTCGAGGCAGTGTTAGTGGACACGGCAGAATTTTATTTGGGGTACATTTGTGTGTATGTATATGGAGGAATAAGAACAGATCCACGTGAAAACCAAAACATGCATCTCTTTATTTGAAAAAAAAAATGACAATAATTGGTGTAACATTTTAACATTTCAGGTTTAGAGTACAAAATTAAGAAGTTAAATTTCTGAGATGAGGTATTGTAACTATTTGCAATATTAACATTGTTCGGACTGTTGTCCTCTTCTTTATTGTCATATTCACAACGTTTCGGCCATTGTACGCTCCGGTCTTCTTCAGGTGATATACGTTGGAATTTCGAACCGAACTCTTTATTTTGATAAAGGTGAATAAAAGCGTTGTTTGAAGTAATCTAGTGATTTAACCCAAAGAGTTGTGAGTTCAATACCTGGCCACAACAGAGGTGAACAAAAACATGGAGAGTTGAGTTACTAAAGGGAAATAATTGGAACTGAGATATCCAGAAGAGGCATGGCACGTGGAACTAGAACAATCTACCCTGGTAGATGTAATAAAGGGTTCGATTCGAAATTTCAAAGTATATCACCTGAAGAAGTCCGAAACATACAACGGTCGAAACGTCGTTAATATGACAATAAAGATGAGGACAATAGACCGAATAATGTAAATAAGAAGTTACACTATCTCAACGATTTATAGCACCTAAAATCTTTGGCAACTATTCGATTTTTATGACCACTTTACATTGATTCCCGATACTAGCTACTAAAAGGCACTTGCAGATGCCATAGGGTCAGAGGTAATTAGCTTCACTAATTAGGCTTGGAAATTTTAATGGTTACCTATAATTTTGACTTAGAAAAAATATATATAGTGTTATATCTAAAATGCTTATTATTGTATTTTCAAAAAAAAAAAAAAAGATAGTCCACACTACAGTAAATAACCAAGAAAAATCAATTTGAATTAATAATATAAAGATATGGTGACTTACCGACCAGAATATTGACTGCTGTCGCAGTAAGAAGGGAACATATTGCAATTGAAAGGAACATGACTATACTTTTCTTTCGGCCAAACCTGTGAGATGAAAAGAACATTCGAAATTTTCAACGGACACCATAAGAACAATAAACAAATCAACTTGATTTCCTAACACTTTCAAATACTTTCAATGTTGATGAGAACATTTATGGAGGAGACTCGCTAAATACTAGACATTGAATGAAAAACAGCTTTTTTATTTTTTACTAATAGATAAGTTTAGGAATTGCATTGAAGAAATAGTAAATGTATATGCTTTATTTTGGAGTAAAACTAATTTAATTTCTCAGTTGAAACAACCGTTTCGTAGTGAAATTGCCCTATGGAGCACTAAAACATTACCGTAGATTCCCAAATTGCTATTTTTGTGTGTAACCCCAGTAATGACACATGGGCCCCGGTTGAGAATCATTGGTCTAGACAAAAGAGTCCTGATGTTGAAATGTCCAAAACCATCAATGGTCTTAGGAAGGTTACTAATGATACATCCCGATGCACACGCACAAATGTATCTTGTAATCACTGTTTTTTTCTTATCTTTCTGCTATATGTCAGTATATTAAGACCTTTATCATAGGGTGATGGTTAACAACCTCTTCTTACAGTGCTAATCGTTAGTGGAATAATTTAGGATGTCTCACAACTCTAACAGATGAATTTAAGATTAATAAATATTTTATTCTTTACCAAGCACTTCATGTGTCGGCTGCTACCGAGGTGTTTGGCAATCCCAAATACCACCACGAGTTTCTGTTGCCGACAAGAGTTGCTCCAAAAATAATGCCCCTATTTTATAATTGTGGAAGTCAGTGTTAGATGTCGGTGGTATGTCAGTATAAGTATGACAAAATAGCGTCTGACATGAAAGTGTGTACGAAGCAGAAGTATGTCATTACGGAAAAATAAATTGTTTTTTTTTAATCATTTAACACTCAAGCAAGACAATAATGTCACTAGGGCGCAGGGCGGGGTATAAGGAGTCAAAGAGAATGAGAAGACTTTAGTGAGGAGAAGTGACAATAAAGGAACAGGATTAAAAAAGACAGAAAATGGTGATTGATGTTTTTAAAGATTGTAGTTATTATGGAAACAAGAAATCAGAAGTAGACAGATAAGAAGTGCGAGAAAATAAATTGTTAGAATAGAAGCTAGGTTATGCATTGTATCTAACTAGTTCAACAATAAAAGGTGGGAATTAGTTACAAATCTAATAGAAGGCTTAAATACCTGTAGTTGAGGCATTAAGGAAAAAAGCTCATAAGAATAAATTGAGAAAAAATTAGAAAAATCTCATGAAAATTAACCTTTACGGGGAACAATCGATGTGAGCACAGTTAAACTGTGGGTAATATGTGAAATGGCGGTAGCAATCTGTGCAGCAAACAACGTTCTTGCACAATTATCGACCGACGAAATAATTATTGGTGCTGAAAAGGCATAGCCAGTCGTAGTGACGAGGTGAAAGATAAGTGTTTTGTAATTGGGACTTTGCTCAAGCCATCGGTATTATTGAACTCTGCATATCTATTCTAAATAAATAGCAGGCATTACTTTCGGATCGTGATTTTGTTTCTAACCAAATGCCGAACTACTATGGTTTAGTGGCAGAGTAAGCAAAGCTTCCAAATTAAAATACAGAGCCGTCTCCTATTGAAAGAACCCCTACCTGATTGACCATGTCTTAAGGAGTGTAGCCGTACTCATCAAACTTAGCCAATTGCAGATTTAACCTGTATTTGGAAGTTTTGAATTCAGGTTTTTCTTTCTCTAGGCCAAGTATTCAGTCTGTCCTGGCTGGGGGGGGGATTTCTCAAAGGTGCACGTTAGTGAATGTAACAAACTCGAACTCAGCATTTTGATTCCTCAATCCGAGCCGCATTACTCTGCCTAAACTTCCTGCAAAGTAAAGCTTCATAACTATATATTTCACTACTATGAAATGGCTTTAAATATTATTTTTGTATTTATGCTTTACGTTTTCATTTGTACACACTTACTGGCCGCTTGTATCCGCGTATACCTTTCTGCAAGAGTGGCTGTTCCTGTTGCAGACGCCTTCTCAAGCACATTTGTTTTTGTTCAACATACAGAGTCCACCACTTCTTAGTTACAGTTTCTGGATGAGATTTAATCATCTGGCGTGACCAACCGTGGCCAACCATGACCAACCGTGACCAACATGTCCATTATGCTCAAAACCTCTATCTCGAAACTTCATGCTAGCGTCGATGAACAATTCCGTCTAGCTAATTTCACTCACAAGGCTTGAGTCAAACTGTGGTATAGTTTTCAGGTACTTTCCAAGGGTGGCGCAAGGTGAAATCGTTTCAATAACTCATCATCGTGAGCCTCAAAAAGTCACCTTCCTGACAAATCGACGATGGTGATATTCGAAACGGAATATCATGATCGGAAAGCAAACTTTACAACCACTTGCTTGCTTTTATGCTTATTTTGTTTATATATATATATATATATATATATATATATATATATATATATATATATACGTATGTGTGAGTGAGAGTGCATTAAAAATAATTATATAGCTGTTCCTTACAGTTCGATGTTACTTAGTTTCAGACTCATTGTCTTTTTTGCTATTTCTCATAAAACTTGGTCTGCCATCCACATTTACTCAAGCTAGGTTATGCATTGTTTTCCACTGATCGTCTTGACTTTAATTTGTCCTGTGAGTATCAAATTTTCCAAGTCCCCTTTTTTTCATTATGTGCCCTAGAAATTTCAACTGTCTCTTCCTGTTGTTAAGTATTAGTGTTCTTTTTTGTTTTCATTTTCTCTAAAACTTGCTCACATTGTCGGTCCTTTGGAATTCTCAGAACTTCATTTCTGTTGCTTTAATTTACGTCTTCGTCTGTGAGATTGTCCAGCATTCACTCATAAGAGGATGATGCTACAAAACAGTTCAGTATATTCTTTTCTTTGCTTCTTTGTTGCTAACGAAATCTTTCAGTTTCTTAATACTTTGCTTAGCCTTTGGAATGCATCTTTCGCTGTTCCAATGCACCTTCAGATTTCAGTATCGTACTTTCCGTCCTCTGTTAAAACAGTTCCTAAACATTTAGATTTTAGCATTTCCAGTTTGTAATTTGCACGGTGGAATGTTTCGTTTGCTTACAATCATGCATTCCGTTTTATCTCAAATCAACAGGTTTTTAGAGTCATACTTATGCTTTAGAAAAACTGTTTTATTTTGTTAATAAAGCAAGAAAATGATTATGGGAGAGGATCACTCTTTCATCCTCATCGTGATCATAAAAAATGAAAATGAAAATTGCATAAAATGATTCCCGTAAAATAATGATACTTTTCTTTTTTTTCGCAAAATAAAACTATTATTATTTGAAAGGTATCATTATTTTATCCAGTAATTAGTAATATTTTCATTTTTTTTTTCAATATTGATATCTGATTATCTTTTTAGATTTTCTTATAAACGCACAAACCGACATACAAAAATCGGATCAAATTTGAAAGTGTTGGAGACCATATTTATTAAATCTGTGCAACTTTCTGTGTGTAAACGGAAATAATGACTGCAGAGGTCTTAATGGGATCTGCTTATAATATATGTATATCGCTACAGTCTGCATTTTTTGCTATGTTGCAGGTAACAAAGAAATACGTATATCAGAAATGGGGTCATTATAATTTGATTATACGTTTCCAAAGAGTCAATGTTGTATATAAGTCGACAAAATCTTTTAAAGTACACGACTGTAAATTTTGTCAGCACAAGAAGCATTTGTTTTGTTCTTTTAAACGATGTTTGTAATTTAATGAATGTAGGTAAAATAATAGGAAGAAACCATAAGAAAATTACTTGGTTTCGTTTTTGAGTTCACACCATCGCCATGGACTGGCGCTACCAAAACAAGTCGATAAATTGACCCTAGGAAATTTGAAATTGTGCTCGCCCAAATTATGCCCAAATTAGCAATATGCAACGGTTACAGTAGTCCGGATTAACGATAGTCAGTATATAAAAGTTTTATCAGATATCCTCTAATAACCCATTCCGATCGTTTCACAGTGATCCCATCATCCCTGATCAAATAGGTCAATAGATACTTACCAGGCAAAAGCTTTCCACATGACGATCAGAGATAGTAATTCACTGAGTGCTATTAGAAAGAAGTTTAAGAACCTGTCACCAGCAAGTGATGAAGACGTCAAGAAAAGACCGTAGTAGGTTAAGGCGTTGATGAACCTGAAGGGAGACAGTAATGAATGGATAAATGTTGCTGGTTCTGATAGTTAACGGAAAAATAAGCATCAAAGGAAAGCTTATATTAAAGAAGTAAGATTACATCGAATTTTATATTATGGCACGATACAAACAATTAACAGATGCCGTGTAGATATTTGCATTACTTAAGAATGTAAATAATTAAGACGAGAGTGCAGTAGGCGTAAGTTAATGGAGACGGCACGTACGATTTAGTCAAAGATAGCCTAAGAGGAATTTGATATTATGTCTAAAAAGTATAATAGAATGATCATTAAGGCCTTCTTAAATAGACAACGAATTAACGGAGGTTTTTTTTTTCAATTATACATAATCATTTTTTGTGTGTGTCAGCAAAAGGATATTGTTATTCTGAAGAATTTATGAATCTATACAGGGATAAAAAAAAAGGGGGGAAAATAACGGATCACATCCAATTACCGGATGCAACTCATATCCGATGAAGAATGAAGAACACATCAACCGTAGTACAAATGATAAATCGAATAGTAAGGCTGCTTTGTTTCATGGATAAGATGGAGTGGAGAAGTTGGCTTAATAGTTAACAGCACTGAAAATAGTATCGGCAAACCAAATTCAGATTCTTACATTGTAGTAGTTTTGTGTTCTCTTCGGAGAAAAACTTCTGTAAAAGGCATGAATGCCTCTCTCTACAGTTTCTGCTACTTCTATCGTGTAACCCAGTAGAAGCCGTTGCAGGTTACTAGAGATTCTCAAACTTTTTTTCTCCTGCCCAACTGTATTGGCGTACCCTTTTAGCAGACGTTCCGTGTTATCGTACTCAAGATACATTCAGTTAATATTTGGGGGCTCGAGGCGCGAAAGGTAAGATATGAGGAATACAAAAAGCAGATTGTCTCTATTTATTGGTAAAAATACAGAAGTGCAAAAGACTTAAATTTCTATCGCGTACCCCCAAGGTTTGAGAAACCTTGAAATATCACACGTTACTACGCAAAACACCATGAAGTACCCAACAAACCACACATGCCAAATTGCAAGGATATAGAATAATTTGCTTTGGTAATTGATCTGGCTTGAAAGAATAGTCATGGGAGAGAGGTTTTCTCACTTAATTTCCTCTTTCAGTCATCATGGCAGACGAGACATTTTTGTCAAGTTTGGAATGAACAGAAAGAAGTAAATTCATGCTTTTTCAATTTAGTACAGCTAGAATTCGAACTCAGTTGACCGATTTCGTACCGATAACGACACCTTACATCGTAATCTTTACTTACCAAGTGAAAATTTGAATGGCCATGATGAATCTTAATATTCGATTCGTCACAAGATTAAAGGCGCTTTCCGCTTTTTTCGGTTTGGTAGATATCGATGCTTTTTTACCACTGCCTTTGACATCGGTAATAAGAGGCTTGCTTCCAAGGAGTTCTCCTATTTTGTCATCATCTTCGACTGCTGTTGATGGCGGTGAAGAGAATGTAGTTTTTTTTATTTCCTCGTCTGTAAATTCTTGTTGATGCTGGTGTTGTGGATTATGGTTATTCGTCATGGTGTCAAGTTCGATGGGGCACTTAACCACAAAATTCTGCCAATCGCCATCGAAATTAACACCGTTTACTTTTGCCACTCGCTTTACTATTTTCTCCGCACGGGACATATTATTTTTCGCAAGAAGCCACCGTATGGATTCTTCGAGAAAACTGTGGATAAAATTTCGAAACATTTTAAATATATATATATATGTGTGTGTGTGTGTGTGTGTGTGTGTGTAGCGTACACTTACTGTCTAATATTTATAACAAAATGCCCAACACATGACGTCGTCGGTATACAGTACAAGTATATTTAAATTAGAAATATAGCGTTTCTAAAATGCTAGGATCCAGATAATCAATTCCCCACCCTAACAACATTAATTTCTAAACAATTAGTAGAGGTAGTCGAAGTACACAAATAAAAACATTATAAGCTATGCTATTGGTCTTGGTCTCGGCTTCATCCATTTTCTCACCACCGTAATGTAGCTTCCCTGGGCCTTTTCTTTAAATCCTTTCATGGTAATTGTTCTAATAAACTTTCCTCTATGGTATCTAAACCTTATAAATTTAAGCGCAGTACTAGATTGGTAGCAAGGTCTCATCACTTTACAGTTGAAATGGCGGCTAGATGTTATTGCGAGTTATATGATGATATTTTCTTCTCTCGCACTTCTCGCTTGTGGAACTCTCTCCCTGCTACTTGTTTCCCCGTCAACTTTGATCTTCCAAAATTTCTGAATGTGTGACAATTTACACATAAAGTAAGAAAATATAAAAATTTAAACCGAGAGACCTATAGGTCGATTCTAATAAAAATTAAAAGAAATGTATGTGTGTGTGACGTCCGGGATATCTTTATAAGTATGCATATGAGTGTGAATTCGAAGGTACATGAAAAATTAATTATTTTATACAACCAATATTTTTATCAGAATCTCCAAACTTGTTAATGCATGCAATTCAATGTAATTTATCACAAAGGTCGAACATTATACACTAAAAATTTCAGATCAAATATCTGCTAATTACATGGTGAGTGACATATATTTCTATAGACCCTCGTGTTTATTTATACATGCACACATATATATATATGTGTGTGTGTGTGCGCGCGCGGAAAGAAAGAGCCAGCATTACTCTCTCTCTCTCTGTGCGTGCGTGTGTGTGTAAAGAAAGAAAGAGCATCACTATAATAACAACTCAATGAAACATTCGGGTTATAAGCGACCTATTTCATGCAACCATCAATTACGCATATTGCCACCTATTCAAATATATAATAAAAAAGTATTTACCAAGTACTTATTTGGTGCAATCAATAAAAAAAATCGGACTAAAGGTTTTCAGACATCAGGTCTCATTTTAAATGCTATCGCATCGGATATTAAATAAAAGGAAAATTTGACATAGACTCTTCCAAACATTCACTGTCATATAAGGACACGGATATCACATAGCAATCCAGTCCTTTTTTTTTTGATTCACACGAAATTTTTCAGTTTCTCGGAACCTTGCTTAGCTTTTGGAATATCTCTTTCGCTAGTCCAATGCGTGTTTGGAACTCGGTGTCGCATTTTCTATCCTCAGTTAAAACACCTACTAGATATTTGAACTTCTGCCCCTGCTTGATGTTTGTATCTCCAATTCGTAACAGCCATCTTGAGCCTTTTCTACTTTCTGTCTTCTAGCAGTAAATGTTTTGTCTTTTCACATTTTCTTCTGCCACCCGTGTAGGAGGTTCTGTAGTTTCATTTCCGAGCCAGTCATCAATACAGTGACATCTGCGTATTTTATATTAAAATTGTGCCCACCAATAATAAATCCTGGTAGAATAACGTCGCTGTAGAGATTGAATAAATCTGGAGAGAAGATGTATCCTTGTCTCATGTTCCTTTCTATTTCTGTATATAGTTATTCAATTGTTTATTTTTTTTATTTACCTTTCTTAATTACTAATAAAGAGAAAGTACTTGTTAATATTAAAATACATTAAATATCTTTGTATATGACCGGTTCGGACTAGTGTCCTCGTCTAAGCATAGACATCAATAACATCTGAGAAACATTAATCAGGAAGGAACAAGTGATGAACCTGGGATTCCATAGTCATTTGGCCAAAGGATGGCAGTAAAAATTCAATGAGAGATCACAATTTCAATGCAGTATACAGGAAGAAGTATATCCAAGAATAGACAGATACAAGCAACAGAAAAAGAAGGAACATTTTTCGACAATATTCAAGAACACAGCTGATACCTTAGTATGCCTAGAGTGTACACAGATGAAACTTTGTGAAAAACAAATAAATAATAATACAAGGAAATGAACCCGAACCAACTAATGTGAAAAATCTTCGTTTAGCAAAATTTAAAAAAAAAACAACCTTTCTTAAAACTTTAAACAAATCTACATAGTGAACATAAGGCATAAACATATTTACTGAGAATGTGAACAATTATTTTCCTTTATTTGCGAACATTATAAAATCCCTTAATTTAAAAGAAAGTTAAATAAATTATTCTAAATCCATTAGTGTGTGGCTATGTAAACATGCTGGAATGAGGCTTGTCTGGAAAGTATACTTTTATTTTGACTATGTCATAACTAGTTGCATGACCTTGGTGTAACTTAGCAAACAACCAGAGGAGACTTTACTACGTATTCCACTCTTCAGTGGAATTCCGAAGTCAACAGCTGCATGTCAACAAGTCACCTTCCATTCTGTATCACCGTTACATTCACACAGAGAAAGAGAGATAACAGTTAAAAAGTCTATCTTGCTGAAAAGATGTTTTAAGAGGACAATTTTATAAATTGGCCAAATGGTTAGCACTACTGTTGATTGAACGACAGTGGTGCTAAACATTCGGCCAATGAATGCCGAATGTTTCTTGTACAGAAATCGTTAATCTCAACATTGCCATATTAAATGACTGACAAATCTCGTATTAACTGTTAAATATTTTGCAGATATTTTCGCCTCTGCCAGAATAACACAGAGTATTGTAAACCGCACGTCTTGAGGCACTGCATAAGATTCAATAACGTTAGATTTCAATTAAGATTTATGTAACCAAGCGTGACGATTAATTATTAATATGAAAATATCGTCACGTGTGAATTTTCATGTGCATCATTGTATCAAATAATAACCAACATGTAATGAAGACGAGAGGCGGGCATGGACGGTGGAAAAAGATTCGCAGAGGAAATTTTAATGAAATTAGGAAAGCGTGTTTACAAAAATGCAATTTTAATTGAAATATGCAAGAGGTGGCAAATGATTGCCACCAGCATTTGATAAAGGGAATGCAGTACAAAGGCTAAAACAAGAAACCAAGAAACATCGTTCAGCTTTTCAAAATATAATTCTCAGAATTTCGAATTTTGATTCTCGGAATTTCAAAGAATGATTCTTATGATTTCGATCTATGATTATCATGATTTCGAACCATTATTCTCAGAATTTCAAATTATGATTCCCAAAATTTCGAATTTTGTTCCTCAGGATTTCAAACTATGTGGAGATTTCCTTATGCTTGTCAAAATGCTACTAATAATTGAAATTCTAAAGTAGATTTTTTCCCAAATCAACAAACATATTAAACATTGGAATAAAATAAATTATGAATTCCTAAAGTCACCTATTCTTATTACCCAGCATTAAAGGTTTAGGGGGGAAAAAAGAAAAAAAAGACTGTATTGAAGCCAAACTTTTTCGTTCATAAGTCTTTTCGGTGCGTACAATAAAGCAATGATTAGTAAATTAGGTTTGTTGTCTAATTTGCTAGTGCAGTGATGTAGAGCATTTTGCATATTTTAATTTTGTGCGAGGTCAGTTCGGAAATGATCCAACTATTTAATATCAACGAAAAATAGCCCACCTAGAAGTAGTGCCTTCGTGAGTACTGGAACTTCACAAAACTGAGACCAACGTCTCTCCCATCTTTGAAAACAAACTGCAAAGTCTCTGTTCTACTTAATCGTTAATCTCTTATAATCTGAAATCTTCTTCCAACAGAGACTTAATCTTTGGGAAAAAGTCGCAGGGGACTAAATCTGAATTGTACGCCGGGTGGTGGTGGTTGGGGGGGGGGACTGTTCAGGACTGAGCGTTCTGGATGATGCAGATGTTGATACAGTACACAAATTCAATCAATTGTCTCTTAGCGACGACTGTAACCCAACATCAGAGTGTTTGTTCACGCACACGCAGTAAAATTTCCTCTAATTGGTCACCAAGTTACATAACAGTCGCGCAGTCTGTTTTTGGCACACTAAAAATAGTTGGATTCTTTTTAGACATACCTCGGAAGTCAAAGGCACTGTATACCAGGGATATAAGTAATTTTGTAATTTATAGAAAGCGCGTTCAAATAATTCATTTTGTAATCTCCAGGTGTACTATGAATATACATGAGTGTAAAATTTGATATCGTAGAATATATATTTTATATAATTTCAAACATGCTTAGTGTCTGATATAACTACTCAATGTTCACAGGTCGCGGCTCGAGAGCAGATAAAAGCGAGGATTTCAACTGTTGGTTCTCAAAAAGATTAAGAGCCAGTTCAGACAAAGGCCGATTAATAACTAGCAAACAGTTGATAATATGAATGATATATGATTTAAATAATTCCAAATGATATTTATTTCATACACATGTTAACGGATTTAGATTTACAGGATTCAAAATTTATCCCCTTTGCCATTGTTAGATCAAAACTACGATTAACACAGCTACCTTGGATATTTGAACCCTTCATAATGCCTTTTATGTATTTACTGGGGTTATTATTATGAATTGCTACGTAAGATTTTGATTAAATTTATTAAGCTATAAAGCTCGAGTATTTTTTTGTTTTTATTTTGTTTTCTCTCCGTATGCATGCGCGCGTGCGTGTGTGTGTGTGTGTGTGTGTGTGTGTGTGTGTGTGTGTGTGTGTGTGTGTGTGTGTGTGTGTGTGTGTGTGTGTGTGTGTGTTACTGGGGTTATTATTATGAATTGCT